ATACATGTACCTCTTCCACCCTTAATCCAAACCCTACAACCACAACTACAGGTACATCTCTTGCTAAAGATTCTTTATGGCAAACGGTCTCATTCAAGCGGAACAAAAAAGAAACCCACAAAGGAAATCACCTACCAAGACTAGTCGGAGCATCACCGGAGCAGCACTCGATCCAGGGAAAGCAGTACAGTGAAGCTACAGGTACGTTCCTCGATCTTGTTGCCACCAACCGTGGCGGCGGCGGCCCTAAAGCACACGAGCACCTGAACCTGGGTGAACACTTGGGCCCTATGGGGTGGGCTACGGAGACCCAACAAAACTTGAAGTCTTTAAGGCCCAGTTTCGATAAAGGCCCATCTTTACAAGGGGGCCCTGTCAAAACAAGAGAAGCCCCACAAGCAAAATGGACTAGGCTAAAACGGCATCTTCACAAGTGAGGCACAATCACTAAAGATGCCACTTTAGGGAATATCTCCATTCCCAAAAATCCAAAGACAATCTACAAAAATGGGATTGTTGATGCCACCCCCCCTTCTTTTTACTCTGCTCCTCCCAAATCGGGTACTCTTACACAAATAGAGAGTATCTCCTTTTTGGAAAAGGATCTATTGTCAGCACAATCCCATCTTAAATTGGCCCACTCATTCACGAAAGGCAACTCTAACGCGCCTGTATCTGCGCCACACACAACACGCTCCCATCTCTCCCCTGAACTTGCCTCTTCCAGTGAAGGTAATCAATTGTCTGTTACAAACCCAAGAACCACTACTATCATTGAGGTGACACCCCATGTCAATCCCTCAAGATTAATTGCAGAAGGCAAATCGCCCCTCACGAAACCCAAAGAAGAGATGGGCTATAATGCTTCTCTCTCCCCCTCTTCTCCATTAACCCCAAGCCACACCACCAACCCCATTCACTCTAACCTTTCTGATGGAAAACAACAACCCCAATTCCCAAACACAAACCACAACTCCGTTAACCATCTCCACCACCCCAATGCTTCTAGAGCTCATGCCAGAGTCATGGTTGGAAATGACTCTCCAAGGACACACCCAGAACCTCCAAATGATGGTTGGGTCTGTCCCAATGGAAACAACCATCCAAAATCCCAGGTACCTAGCTTGACTGGCCACACAGCTTCTCCATCAGGGTCTGGCAAACTTTGGATACCAATTATGGACGTACACTTTACTCCAAGCCCAGTACATGAGGCACCAACAACTTTTTTCCATGGAGGAACTTAACACACTCATGGGCCAGCTTTGCCAGACCATGCCCTTCTTCCCACTCACGAACCTGGAGGCTCCAGTCCCATCTCCAACCTTCCAACTCTGGCCACCAATAGTCCAAGTTCCTCAGCCACCACCATCACAACCACTCTCACCTATCGATCTACTAAGTAGAGGCACCACCATGGCATTGGACTATCTCAGAAAGTCCAATGTGGACCTGGAGAACATGCTAGAAAAATTAGATATGTCAAAGATAAAGGCCTTCCTCATGCAGGAACCCATGGAGATAGAGTTCAAAGAGCAGTCAGGAGAAATTTTTATTGCTCTGTGCCCCAAAAAGCTCATAAGCTGCAAACCCGATCTCCGAGTACACTCATTTCCAAACTCAAAAAACTCAGAAGTGACTCTGGTCCCTATAGTGGGTATCATGAACCCAACCCAGTGCGCAAGGGGAAGGAAATCAAAAGGAAGGCTCCAATCTAGAACCCCCTCTTAATGAATTTCATAATATGGAATGCTAGGGGGACAATGGTGCGGAGTTTCGCATGCACTGCTCATCTATGGTGAAGCTCCATAACCCTGCCATGTTGGTCTTGTTGAAGACTAGAATGGCATACCACAAACACCTCACTACTGAGCTCAAGTTTGATGCCCAATTCCAATACCCTGCCGTTGGTCAGCCTGGTGGGATTGTGCTCATGTGGAAGGATGATCTGGTTAAGTTAGAGGAAGTAGCCACTACTCCACAGGGAGTGCATGCCATGGTCAAGGTACTCCCCTTCTCCACCGAATGGCTTTTTTTGCTATATATGCTAGTAATTGTGTCAATGATAGAAATAAGCTCTGAAATACATTAGAGGATATGGCTTCTATGTACGGGGGTAGTTGGCTTGTTGGAGGAAATTTCAATGAACGTCTAAAAGCCAGGGATAAGTTTTGGGGTAATAGCTTGAACACCAATAGAAACAAAAGATTCTAAAAATGCTTGAATAGTTACAAATTAGTGGACCTGAGTTTTAAAGGCTCTAAATATACTTGGTCTAATAAAAGATACTCCAATAAGCAAGACCTAATCCTAGAAAGACTTGATAGATGCTTTGCAACTGATGATTGGATTGATGAGTTCCCTGAATCAACTATTACCCATCTTCCTAGGACCCACTCAGATAAATGTCCTATTCTTTTAAGCCTAATCCATCAGAGTCACAGCAGGGCCAACAAGCCTTTTAAGTTTGAATCTATGTGGTGCAGCCACCCTGGCTTCCTCCCTCTTGTGGAGGGCAGTTTTGATGCCAATACTGATATCCTGAAAGCTACCTTTATTTTTACTAATAGAGTGGTTGACTGAAATAAACATGTCTTTGGCAACATCTTCCATAGGAAAAGGCATATCCTTGCTAGACTTTTTGGCATTCAGAAGTACAGTGCCTACCCCTTTAGTACCTTCCTTCAGGAGCTTGAAGCCAAGCTCCAGCATGATTTCTCTGCCATTCTAAAGAGTGAAGAAGACTTCTGGAAGCTTGAATCCAGAATAAACTGGCTAAGTGAGGGAGATATTGTTACATCCCATAATTTAATATTAGAATTAGTTGTAGTAATCCATATGAGCTAGAAGGGATTAAGACCATTCATGAGATTATAGAGGATTTGTGACTATGTTATTGTAAGACTCCGTAAGTTTAACAACATTGATACCGTTAGATATTATGTTAATGTGATATTTTCTTTTAAGTAGAGTATTTTAGTAAAAGTTTTATAAATATAATTTTGGATAGTTACCATTATTACTATTTTCGAATATGGTAAATTATATACATAATATAAAAAAGTTTATGAGATTTTCTTTATTGTAAAGATAGAAATTATTTTCTCACAAGAAAAGAAGGTTATCTTTTTACCATTTTAAGAATTAAGCGTACGCGAATTTTTACTCTTTATATGAGATTAGGGAAATTATAAGTTAAGAAAATATATGTAGTTTTTTTTACATGGATGTTTTAATAAAATAATAAGTGTATGTATTGATTTTATATGGTACCACATGACCACGATAGTAGGGTATATATAAAGTGTGTTAAAAGTGGGTAGTATTTTAAGTAATTTGAGATAGTTATTAATTATGTGGGTAATTGGTTAATGGAAAATTAATAAATTAATTAATGAATTAAATGGCTAATGTTGGATAAGCCTAAACTTTTCCCACGTGGCAGCAACGCATGATTCTTGAGTGACTCTTGAATTCAAATTTGCAAGATGTCACAATTAAGAGGGGTTGGTGCCTAATCATCACTTTATACTACACTTTTCCATAAATTCCAATCCTTGAATTGTATAATTCTAACATTTCATGTCAAGATCCCAAAGCTCTTGAATTGTATAACTTTAACACTTTCATGCCAAAAAACTTCAGCAAAGTTCATGGATTGCAATAGCAACGTACTGCTTCAAAACATTTCGTACAGAGACCATTTTTACTATATAGCGTGAGATTTTGCGATTCTAAGGGAGTACGGTGCAATCCTTCTCAAAAAAATATCACATCGATTTTTTCCTAATCCAGGTATGTTAAGGCTATCCCTTCTTTTCTTTTGGCATGATTCAAGTAACGATACGTAAACGTAATGTTATTCCATAAGTGATTCTACTCTTAGCAGTTAAGGATATCTACGTTATTCATTCCTATAAAATGATATTTAAGCATGTCTAAGTATGTTCCTAAGTCCCTATTGAGATATATGATAGAGATGTTAATGTTTTTAATATAGTGATACATGCATCTTCATACATTTACCACCGGTTGGGCAGTTATGTATCATTATTTACCACCGGTTGGGCAGACATGCATATTTATTTACCACCGAGCTATGGTCGGTCGGACAGTTACTACCGGTTGGGCAGTTATGTATCATTATTTACCACCGGTTGGGCAGACATGCATATTCAGTTACCACCGAGCTACGGTCGGTCGGACAGTTATGTATTATTATTTATCACCGGTTGGGCAGTTATGCATTTACCACCGAGCTACGGCCGGGCGGGGAGTTACCACTAATCAGTTGGGCAGTCATGCATCATACGATATAATAGTCTTAAAGAGAAGCATTGTATATATATAAGTATAATAAGTATGTATTTAGTGACACATCAGAGATTCAGGTTGATTCTTATATGTCCTTAATTAATATTGACTTATTGTTATGTTTCAGTTCTGCCTTACATACTTAGTACATTATTCGTATTGACGTCCTTTTATTGGGGATGCTTCATTCATGCCTGCAAGTATAGATAATCAGTTTGACGAGCCCTCATAGTAGACGAGATTGGCATTCAGCGAAGGATCGGTAAGACTTCACCTCATTCGGAGTGCATCCGAGTCTATGAGTCATCGTGTCAGAATTTTGCTACAGACTTATGGGTAGGCCGGTACCCTATCCCATTTGATGTCAAATAATCTTAGAGGCTTTGTAGACAGAAGTTCATTTTGTACAGTATGTCAAAGGCCTTGACGGCCCATATGTATTCATGTTTTACGAAAAATGGTTCACTGCTACAGTGTTTCCCACTTATATTTATACATTATGAGTTGTGGTCATGTTAGACCATGATAGTTACAGAAGAAAAATAAATGAGTTACACAGTGGTTCGCTCGAGCCAGCACGACACCGAGTGCCAGCCATGCCTCCCCAGGTTCGGGGCGTGACAGATGCTAACACTAAATTCTTCCATATATCCACACTTAATAGAAGAAGAATAAGGAACATGATCATGTCCTTAAAGGATGAGGTGGGGAATATTATTCAGAATCCCAAAGACATTAAAGACACAACCTTTAACTACTTCACCAAGATATATAACACTGAACACCATAGCTCAATGCTGAACAAGATCCACATTACTGATAGTGCTAATGTACTGACTACCAGGGAGAAGGACACCATTGACTCCACCCTTAGGCTCTTTGAGATCAAGTGTGCCTTATTCTCCTTCAAGGCTATGAAGGCACCTGGGCCTAATGGCCTTCACCCCTTCTTCTATCAGAAGTACTGCATATAGTTTCTAGCAGTGTAATCCAATTCTGCAACACTGTCTTTTCCACTAGTGTGTTCCCTCATAAAATAAACCAAACCAATCTCTGTCTCATTCCCAAATGCCTTAGTGCCACTATGCTGAAAAACTTCAGGCCAATTGGTTTGTGCAACACTATGTATAAGCTGATCACTAAGATCATTGTCAATAGAATCAAACCATTACTTCAAAACATCATTGGCCCTACTCAAGCCAGCTTTCTAGCCAATATAAGAGTTGTTGATAATGCCATTATGGTCCAAGAATACATTACTCACTTCCAAAATATGAAAGGTAAAAATGCCAATATGATCTTAAAGGTGGACTTAGAGAAGGCTTTTGATAGATTAGAATGGTCTTTCATTAGAGAATCCCTTATCTTCTTCAAGTTCCCCATTAAACTTACCACCTTAATCATGTCCTGTCTCACTACAAGCTCCATCTCCATCCTTGTCAATGGTACCCAGACTGATTACTTCAAGCCGAGTAGAGACATTAGGCAATGGGACCCTATGTCTTCCTATTTGTTCATCGTATGCATGAAAAGGCTTTCCAGAGATATAAACAATGTTGTAACTGATAAGGATTGGTTCTCTATCAGTATCAGCAAGGGAGGGCTCTTCTACCTATTCTTTGTTGATGACCTCACTATGTTTGCCAGAGCCAATAGAAGAAACTGTGAGACAATCTTAGCCATCTTGGGTAATTTCAATGTTGTATCTGGACAAAAGGTCAACCTCTAGAAATCCAAAGTGATATTTTCTTCTAATTGCCAGGCAGAGTGTGCCACATCTTGTAGTGCCATTTTAGGTATCAAAGGTGATAAAGACTTTGGCAAATACCTTGGTTTCCCATCTTCACCAGAAGGCCTAGGAATAATGACTTCCAATTCATCATAGATAACCTTAATAGTAAAATGACAGGGTGGAAAATCAAGTTCCTGAACATGGCTGGTAGGGCCACTCTGGCCAAATCATATCTTAGTAGCATCCCAAACTATGTAATGCAATACATCTAGTTACCCTCCCAAATTACTAACCAAATTGACAAAATCCAAAGGAATTTTATGTGGGGTACAACTCCTATGAAAAGGAAGTTACACATGGTCAAGTGGGTCACTGTCACCAAACCAAAGAAGAAGGGAGGGCTGGGTCTCCATCAGTCCCACCTAAAGAACAAAACATGCTACATCAGTCTTGCTTAGAGACTCTACAATAATACTACGTCCATCTAGGCTAGGGTGCTCATGGGAAAGCACTGCAGTAGAGGAGGGAACATGGTTAAGGCTAAGACTAGAACCTGGAAGAATGTTCAAGAAGGCTGGAAAATTTGCACAAGTTGCACTAGATGGGTGGTTCACAAAGGGGATATGGTTAGATTCCTTAATGACTCATGGATTTCCAAGATGCAACCTCTGGATAAAATCCTTAATGGTCCATGGCACCACAGTGACATGAACACCAGGATTAATGAAGTGTTCTCCAATGGGGTTTGGGATTTTAGCTACATTCCCTACCCAATCCCCCATGACATCACCTTGATAATACAAAACACCTTCATTCCCACCTCCACCTATGTTGAGGATAAGCTAATCTGGAACCTTAATCCCATTGGTATATTTAGTACCAAATCAGTCTATTCCTTCCTTGATACACTAATACACAATGATAGTTCTAATGAAGACCACTTCGGCTGAATTTGGAAGCTAAAGACCCCAAATAAGATCAAGTTTTTCATATGGCTCATGCAGAAAAACAAGCTGCATACAAGGAATCACTTACATCACATTGGCCTGAGAATTAACCCTAACTGCTACTTCCGTGGTTACGCAATAGAAGACATAAACTACATCTTCTTTGAATGTCCCAATGTCAAAGAATTCTAGCAGCAATTGCTGCACAACTGCACCCAAAAGCCTAACCTTAGTGTAAATCCCTTCTCTATGCCAAATTGGGAAGACACATGGCATAGGCTACAAAATGTGGATTACAATGCTTGCATAAAATGGAAACAACTACTGCCCTTCTGCCTCTGGGCCATCTGACTCACCAGAAACTCTAATGTCTTTGAAAAGAGGAAAAATCACATTAATGTACACCAAACAATTGCAAAGGTTGTTGAATACTACCATGTATCATCCACTTCAAGGCCTATTAGAGCAACAACCACCTTATACTTAAAGTGGCAACCACCAGATAAAGGTTATTATAAGCTGAATACTGATGGGGTTGCATGCCTTAACACAAGGAAAAGGGGTATAGGGGGCATTTTCGGAAACAATAAGGGAGACTGAGTCTTAGGCTTCATGAGGGGGCTCCCAAACACTGATAATCTTAGGGCAGAACTCCAAGTACTATGGTTGGGGCTAAAAATAGCCCTAGATCAAGGCTTGTCACCTATTGTGATTGACACTGACTCTGAAACGGTGTTGGAAATGTTAAAGAATGGCAACTTAACTCACAACCCCATAACTTCTGAATACAGGTATCTGATGGAGCAGTTGGGGAACCCAGTCATAGGCCATAACTTGTGATGACCCAAAAGGTCATCTTATGTTTTAGAACTCGAATCTGCGCTCTTAAGCCTTAAAAATCTCATTTTTACCCTCCTCTATTTGCGTGCGTAGTCCGGGCAGGTTTCCGGAAAGCTTTTATGTTGGAAACTAATAAAAATAAGAATTTTTGCCTTAAAAATTGATTTTAGTTGACTTCGGTCAATATTTTTGATAAACATATCCGGATCCATGCTTTGACGATCTCAGTAGGTCCGTATCGAATTATGGGATCTGGGCGTATGCCCAGAATCGAATTTGGAAATCCATAGCTTGAGTTATGAATTTTCGATGAAAATTAAAAGTTTGGAAATTATTTATTTTTAAGAATTGATTGATATTTGGCATTGTTAGTATCGGGTTCGTATTTTGGTTCCGGAGCTCGGTACAGGTTCATTATGATATTTAAGACATGTCTGTGAAATTTGGAGAGAAACGGAGTTGATTTGACGTGATTCGAACGTCCAGTTGAAAATAGAAATTTCAAAGTGTTCTTGAGAATTTCATTTGAATTGGTGCTAAATTTAGAGTTCTATGTGTTATTTTGGTGATTTGATCGCGCAAGCAGGTACGTATGATATTTTTAGACTTGTGTGCATATTTGGTTTGGAGCCCCGAGGGCTCGGGTGAGTTTCAGATAGGCCATAGGATGTTTTGGACTTGGGAAAAATCTGGTTTTCTATAGATTCTAGTGTCTGTCATATCTTTCTTCGCGTTCGCGAAGGTCCTCTCACGAACGCGAAGAGTAACCTGATGAGGCTGAGACTTCTTCTTCACGAACGCGAAGGCCTGGTCGCGAACACGAAGGCCTGGTTGCGAACGCGAAGTGATGGGGGATTTACCCTTCACGAACGCGACCGGCTCAACGCGAACGCGAAGCATGTGAGGACCTGGGGGGAGGGGTCATTCCTTCATCGCGAACACGAGCAACGTCTCGCGAACGCGAAGGCCAGGGGGGAGTAATCATCGCGAACACGAGTTGGGTCTCACAAACGCGAAGGCTGGGCAGTCAGTACCCTTCGCGAACGCGATAGTGGCCTCGTGAACGTGATGCACACTGTCGCCCAGTGCATAAAACAAAATCAAACATGGGTTTAAGCCATTTCTTCAACATTTTTCAAGAACCAAATGGGTAGAGGCAATTTTCAAGAGTCATTTTCTTCCCCAAAGTGTTGGTAAGTGATTCTAAACCATTTTCTTTCAATTACCCGTTACATTCCTTGAATTATCAACCAAAAATCTAGAGTTTTCATGGTAGAATTAGGGGTTAGGGTAGAAACTAGGAATTTCGGAAATTTGTGGATTTAGACCTCGATTTGAGGTCGGATTCCAAAACTAATTACATATTCGGGCTCGGGGATAAATGTATAAAAGGATTTTGGTCCGAACCTTGAGTTTTGACCAAGCGGGACCAAGGTCGATTTTTCGACTTTTTGTAGAAAAATTTGAAAAATTTAATTTATACAATATAATTGATTCCTTTAGAAATATTTGATATTATTGAGTCATTTTTGAATAGATACGAGTGGTTTGAGGTGAATTCCAAATGAAAAGTTATAATTGAGAATTAAGTGGCCTTCAGAGCGAGGTAAGTGTTGTGTCTAACCGTGACTTGAGGGAATTAGGAACCTTAGATTACTTGCTAAGTGAAATTCATGTGAGCGGCGTATATGTGAGGTGACGAGTACTTATGCGCCGCCAAATTTACCTATTTTTTTATATTTCTCTGTTTTTCTTATATTGTCTTTTCCTATATCAAATTGCTACGTGTTATGCTAGTATTGTTCAATTTATCGTTCTTATCATGTTTACGGATTTTCTAGTGATAATTAAGTTTTTATTTCAAAGTTGAGATTGATATTATGGAACCAAATATTGAAGTAAGGTTTGTACTTGTTATTCTGTCTCCATATTGTTATTTATGCATTGCACTATGGTAAGGGAGAGTGTTAATGCACGAAGGGTGATGCCGTGTCATATTGTGAGTGTTAATGCACGAAGGGTGATGTCGTGCCATATTGTGAGTGTTAATGCACGAAGGGTGATGCCGTGCCATATTGTGAGTGTTAATGCACGAAGGGTGATGCCGTGATGTTTCTATTAATTTTATGGTGAGATTGAGAGTAAAAGCACGAAGGGTGATGCCGTGCATTTTTTCTTGCTGTATTCACTATTCCTGTTGATTCATGGTATATTGACTGCTCCGGCCATCATTCTGTTGTAGTTCTTTATCTTGTATTCCCCTCAGTATGTTTCCCGTCCCGATATTTCCTGTTTAGTTCTTCATTCCTATTATTTGCGTATACACTGTTAAATTATATATGTTGATTTGTAGGTGCCTTGCCTTAGCCTCGTCACTACTTCATCGAGGTTAGGCTCGACACTTACTAGTACATGGGGTCGGTTGTACTGATGCTGCACTCTGCACTTTCTGTGCAGATTTTGATACCGGCTTAGGTTGATCGAGATTTGCTACTGGTCCGCTGTCCGGAGACTCAAGGTAGATCTGTCGGCGTTCACAAACCTTGAAGTCCCCATCTATCTTTTATGTCCTACTGTTTTCTTTCATTCAGACAGTTGTATTTCTTTCAGACTATTACTTGTAGTAAATTCTAGAATACTCATGAATTGTGACTCTAGATCCGGGTAGTAGTAATTAATACCGTTTTATGATATTCCGTACTTATTATATTTTATTTTAGTTAATTATTGTTATTTATTGAATAGAAATAAGGAATTGGTTTAATGATTCTCTAACGTTGGCTTGCCTGGCAAGTGAAATGTTAGGCGCCACCATGGTCCCGCCGGTGAGAAATTTCGGGTCGTGACATAACTACAGGGAGTAGAATCAAGTGGCGGACCTCCTCGCAAAGGAAGGAGCCAAGAAGGAAGTTTTTGACAAGACCCAATTTTTGGCAGTTCCTCCGGTATTTGCAAATGAAGCAGTGTAGGCAGACATCTTAGGAACTGTTTTTGAAAGGAAAACCAATGTTTTTAATAGGGTGACATTGGTAGACATTGATGACAATCAACAGGGGACCTCATCCTCCCCTTATAGTGATGTAATTTTGTGAATGTTTATATATATCAAATTAACCAAACAAAATATAGGATAAGGGTTCCACTTAAAGCAAGCTTAAGTCCCGAAGCTCGGTGAAGTTCAGATCATGCACTTCGCCTTGCTTAATTGGCGTTTTAGTGTAGGCGTCAAGCTCTTAAACGCATGCGCACCTTTACCAATAGTTCTGCCTTTAAGGGCACAACATTATATATTTAGCTTAATTATAGTTTTTTTTTGTCCAAATAATTACTATTTGTGTTTAATTTACACTGTATATTAAACTGTTT